TGAGCAACTTGCTAGCCTACCTTTCTTCAGGGCAAAAGGTAGAACAAGCGCGAATATATCACATGGGAAGTTTGGTCCTCTTCACAAGGCCAAACGACAAATGAAACAAACTACACAAAAAATAAAAATGTCAAGATAACAGAATAGGATGCACACCTCAATTTAGGGGCATATCAGAGATGACACCTACACTGTTGATCATTGGCATTTTCATGCAAGCTAACAGGCATACAGACAAATTTGTCCAAAATGATAATGTGTGATTGCCAAATCAGACACGGATAATCCAGTCCAAAACACAAGTATGAAACTACAAAGAGGTGAGTAAAACAAGGACACAAGTTTCACTGATTTAACAAATAACAATTGATTATCAGCCACACAAGTCTAAATTTTTAAGCTTTCAGCGAAATACTCAGTCAACATGTTAAAATAGGGAGGACAAGGACGGGCTGAACATGAATAACATGCTAAGCATTGTCAGAACGACCCTGAAGCAAGCTAAGGTCTGCTTGAGTAACTAGTAGTAATACAATATCGAGAGCTGGGCACAAGAATGCTACATATAATGGTATCTTTATTTTATATTGCCGATAGAAAATCCTTAGCTACAATGAAAAATGTGTAAACAGAAGCAATGGCGCCCCATTTAGAGCATCGTATACTTAAAAGGTGCAATATTTTTTTCCATGAAGGTGCCTTTGACTACACTTATCTTAAGCAAATCGACCAATTTCCACAATGATTTATTTTTTTTGAACGGTGCAAGAACCAGATGTAAGGACAGAGAACCAAATCCAGGTTCCTGGCGTGGGCACACGGCACACCATGAGGTTCCTTGCAATGAGTTTGTATAGAATGTGTGCAAACCTTCGCACAACTGATATGATCGAACAAATGGTCAAAATAGTCCGTCCGCTATTTTTCAGGACAAATACAGTTCAGTTATATAAAAAAAAATTTGATTTTATCAATGAGGAAGAAAAAGATAACTAAGTTGTTAGCAAACATTTCAAAGCACAATAAGGACACTCCTACAATCATATACAAATAGGTTGATTCAGCTACTTCTGTGATATAAAGATAAACAATTACCTGCAGTGAAGAAATTTGTGAACGGATGATAGGAATTCTCCAAAAAACTTTGATTAATTTTCCTGGACTGCATTGACTCAAGTTCAACAATGAAGGTATGGGGTCCTGAACAGCAAGACACCTTTATAAAAAGCGCATGCGCATCCTCTGAGTACCCCACTATAGCTTCCTTCCCTGTCCTGATACCTAAACAGCAAGGCACCGATATAAGATCCGCACCTGCATCCTCTGAGTACCCCACTATAGCTTCCTTCCTTGTCTTGATCTGATGTGTAAGATCAATGATCTTGTGGAAGACAACAATCTGCTGCAGCACCCATGTGTGAATACCCTGACTACTGACCTTGCGTTTCCACAGTTTCAAGCTCAGATACGAAAATACTGCGACGCCAACACCGCCATCCTCTCCCCTGATGATCCGGCTGTTGATAGAGTTGGTGTCCGCACGGGAAGGCCCCTCGGTCACAGCTAGTGTCTGGGTATGCAGATCGAACTCGAGTATGCCATTGTCATGCCCATACAACCACCAATAAAGGACATTGTCGACAAGGGTACAGGGGAAATGGACGTCAATCAGACCGTCGCATGGTTCCATGGTCAAGACAAGATTGCTCCACATGCCGGTCTCGGAGGAGTAGACCCAGGCTATGGCTGGGTGGTGCTCTCTGGTGCCTACCAGGACCACCTTAAAGGGGCTCGAATGGCAGTCTCCGTGCACGTGGCCCTGGTCGTCGCCGGCGGCGCAGACCACGGCTCCACCGAAGACATACCGGACCAAATCCAGCGGCATTGCCACGCGCAGGCGGTCGCTGTTGACGGGGTCGAGCACAAGGAGCGCACGACGAAACGTGCTGATGAAGAGGACACGTCCATGGCCGCACCCGAGCAGACCCCAGAAATCGATCTCCTCGCCGGGCCGCAGCGAGAAGCGCTCCCGCGGGATGCGGTCGGGAGCGTCGAGAAGGGGGGTGAACACAAGCTCCCGGCCTTGCTACCGGAAGACGCTGAGGATGGGGGGCTGCCGGAAGACGCCGAGGATGGGGGCCTGCCGGTGGTGGGCAACGAAGCGGCGGTGGAAGTCGGGCGCGGCGGCCCCATAGCTTGGAGACGAGGGAGGGCGGAAGAGCGAGGAGGGCAGCGGGGCGACGCGGAGGAGGATCTCGCCAAGGAGGTTCTCGTCCTCCAGCTGCGGCGCCGACGCCGACGGCGGACGGCGGATCGCGGCGGCGGAGGGCCATCCCGTCGCCGCCGGACTCGTTGGACACTTGGGCCGGCCCAGTTTATTTACGTGCTCGTCCGATCTCCAGCACCAGCACAGTCCGAGTCGGATCTCACCGCGAGCCAACATGTCTGTCTCCCTATAATAAATATGGAACCATATTACCAGATCGATCGATCGAAGCATCACCAAGCAGTCAAGCATCGACCATGGAGGACCTGACGCAGCCGCTGCCTCACGACGTTCTCGCTGACATCCTCCGCCGCCTCCGGCAGGCGTCGGTGCGCAGCCTCGTCGCGTCCCGCTGCGTCTGCAAGGCATGGCGCAGCGTGGTTGATACCCGGCGACTCCTCACGGACCTCTTGCCGCACTCACTTACCGGCATATTCTTCAACCTCAACGGCGAGATGCTCCCGAGGCACTTCTCGGTCGCTGCGCCAGCCGCGCACATCGCCCCCTTCGACTACTTGGATACCCACGACACCATTGAATACTTAGCAATTAGGCAACACTGCAATGGCCTTCTTCTACTCGCCGCCAACGATAACGACGATCAACCGGAAGAGGCATGGGTGCTTAACCCCGCCACGCAACAATGGACACACCTGCCTACTCCTCCGCCCATGTGCACGCCGGGCATGGAGGACATGGATGATGTAGATAATTACATGAACTGTCACGACCAATACCTCGTGTTTAATCCTATGGTCTCACCGCACTATGAGGTCTTCTTAGTCAAGTATGTTCCCTTTATTCCGTGGCCTGATAGCGGCCATTTGGTGGACCTTCACATACAAGAGAGAGAATGGCCGCCGTCGACCTTTGTCTTGCTTGTCTTCTCGTCGAGGACAAAACGGTGGGAGGAGAGGCCTTTCGTTCGTGAAGGGGAGGCCGCGGGGACCATAGGCGGCATGTTGCAGGTTCACGGATCTGACTATCAGTTTGCCGCATACTGGCAGGAATCACTTTACTTCAACCAGCATGACTTGTTCATGAGGTACGTGGTTACTCCCATCTTAAACACCACCTTATTTTTTGACGTTTTGATGTAGCAAGTTATTATTAGTCTAACGTTGATGGTTGTCTACGTTTTGCAGAATAAACTTGGCAAAGCACAAATACGAAGTAATTAAGCCCCCAGAAGGTTTTCGAAAATATCATATGGGACATTATTTTGGAAAATCGAAGAACGGTGCATATTGTGCACTACTCGATGCCCTCGGACTTAGGATTTGGTACCTCGACGAAACAGGTGATCAGATAAACTGGATCTTAAAGTGCGATGATTTGGTTTTTGACAATGATGGTGCCGGTAGTACCAAAGATAGGTCAAAGCAGAGTCGCATCAAATATTCTCTACTTGGGTTTCATCCGAATGAAGAGATCGTCTTCCTCCATACACCCTTCAACAGATTAATGGCCTATCACTTCAATAGCTCCGAGGTCCAAGACTTGGGCTGCTTACCCGTGGAAACTCAAAGCCAGATAAGGTTGTGTTTCCCTTACACGCCATGTTTGATGGGGGAGTTTTCAAACAACAAGTAGCTTAACAAGAATATCATCGGGATTAGTTAGCAGCTTGTTTGAGTAGTTTATCCGTGCACATGAGTGACCGATTTGTATAATGGAATGGCGATCTTGTAAATCAGTTTATTTTCCTGAAGTTATGATATGCAGTAGTATATAGCTTACTCATGACAAGGAACTAAGCTATTGATCGGCAGGGTCTTAGAGCAACTCTAGCCGATTCCTTAAAACTTAGAGGAGTAAACGGTCAAGTATCATTTAGTGGAGTATTCCTTAAAATTTAGAGGAGTAAACGGTTAACTATCATTCCTTAAAATTTTGGTCGTTTGTAACTGATCCCATAAACTTAACTGGGTAAAAAAGAATACGGTGCACACAAACACAAATTTGATTTGAACAAGTACTTCATAAAACATACTAGAAACGACATTCGGTGTGGATTCATAATATTTTACATTGACCAAAACTTAGTCTAAACTAATTGAAACTTACTAAAGTTTAATCGCTATACGTCTCTTAAGCGAGCTCCTACCAATCTCACCTAGATGGTCCACTGATCATGGGGTTTGGGTCTTGGTCGTCAGCAACGTCGTCGCCGACATCATTGTCGCCTCTGTTGCCGCTAGACAGAACGATGGCGCCCGCCCCCAGCCGCTAGCTGCTCGTACAAGCGGCGCTCCACCCCAACTAGCTCCAGGTAGCGGTGGCGGATCCGCCATGCATTTTTGGGCTTTGGCGGTTAGAGAAGAGAAACTAGATCCCCCCCCCTCTAACCGAATTTAGGGAATCGGCTAGAGATGCTCTTATAGATTGTATAAAAGGCGTAGAAATTTGGTGGTGCATAGCGTACAACCTTGTAATTACTCGTGTTCTGCGAATGAAATATGTTTAAGCAAAACTTTTGTTCATACCTCAGTTCGGCACTTTACTTCTCCTTTGTACGAAATAGTCTTCCCGTTTATGTAAGACATTTTTTGACACTAGTGTAGTGTCAAATAAAAATAAAAAACTTATATTATGGGACGGACGGAGAATACATAGTTATGCCATTTATATTTGGGTTAAAATCAAGTGATGTTTTTTTCAAGAGTACAAATCAAGCGATATTTGATTAACCAAGATTTAACACAATAAATAAATCAATTGAAACTGCTCTTTTTAAGACAAAAGAAAATAAGCTAAAATGTGGAAACAGGAGTCGTGATGATAAGATAAACGGACAACTAACAACTTGCCCGTCCAATGCAACCGACCCGGATTCAATTTCAATCACGTACGCGTCACCAACTCTCCTTATTAATTATAACGGTTCTACATCGAAAGTTGTGTAGCAACAAAGCGACCATGGGGCAGACGATGGAGACACCGTCGTCCACGGAGGACCCGACGCAGCGGCTACCCGCCGACCTGCTCTCCCACGTGCTGCGCCGCCTCCAGACGACGTCGCCGCCCAGCCTCGCCGTGTCCCGGTGCGTCTGCAAAGCATGGCGTGACGTTGTCGACACCCGCCGGTTGCTCGTGGACCTCCTGCCGCGCTCATTGAGCGGCATATTCGTCCATCTCAGCGGCGACACGCGTGAACTGCTCACACAATACTTCTCGCCTGCCATGTCATCCACCAGCATCGCGGCCGCATTCAACTACGTGGACGCCGAGTGCTCGACGATCAAGCAGCACTGCAACGGCCTCCTCCTGCTCGACAACGAATGGCCGCGCGGCCGAGGGCCTATCAAGGAGAAGGCGTGGGTGCTTAACCCCGCCACGCGAGGGTGGGAGCGCCTGCCCCCACCCCCGCCCATGTGCACCCCGGGCATGGAGGACGTCTTTGATTTTTACATTGAAAAAGTCATGCAATGCCATAACCAGTACCTCGTGTTTGATCCCGCCGTATCGCCGCACTACGAGGTCTTTTTAGTTAAGCACGTTCCCTCCCTCCCCTGGCCTAGCCATGAGTATTACATGGAGGATCATGTGGCAGAAAGAGAATGGCCGCCATCGACGTTCGTCTTGCTTGTCTTCTCGTCGGGCACAAAGCGGTGGGAGGAGAGGCCTTTTATTCGCGAAGGAGAAGCCGCGGCGACCATCGGCTATATGTTTGATGATTTCCCATGCCCACAATGCTATGCTGCATACTGGCGAGGGGCACTCTACGTTCATCAAAATGGTTTCATCCTGAGGTATTTTCTCATGGGTCTCACATCTTATAAGCACCGTAGCACCTTATTTTGGTTACGATTCGAGGTAACCGTTTGTACTTTGAGAGTGGTTTATGTTTTGCAGAATGACCTTGTCAAACAATAAATACCGAGTGATTGAGCTGCCGGAAGGTTTTTGTGGAATGTATACCACGGACCTGCATTTAGGAAAATCAGAGAATGGCGTGTACTGTGCTCTACTTGACGGTCATTGTGGCCTCAGACTTCGGATTTGGTACCTCGACGAAACGTGTGATCAGATAAACTGGAGGTCAAAGTGCGACATCAACCTCGACCCTCTTCTTGCAGAATTTTCCGGGGAACGCAGTGAGGGGAGTGCTTCGGTACAACCCCCCCTAAAATCGTATAGTGGATAGTATGGTAATTTCACATTAGGTATAAGAATACCCACCCGACGCCGTACGTCCGCGCGCGACGGCATACGTCCGCCCGCGTATGCCGCACCCGTCGCTGTACGTACGCCCGCCCGCGTATGCCGCACCCGTCGTTGTATGTACGCTCGCCCGCGTACCCGCACCCGTCGCCGTACGTCGCCTCGTACGCCCGCACGTCTCGACGTTAGCGTCGACAGTTGTTGGAGGAAAAAAAAGACACAACTCAGAACCCTAACGCATCCACGCCGTCTCCACGTCGGCCCCCGTCTGCGCTAAGTCGCCGTCGCCCGGGTCGCCGCCCAAACAGGCCGCCGCGCGTGCCCCGGCGCCGTTACCGCTGCCGCCGCGCCTGCCCAGGCTCCTTTGCCGCTGCCGCCGCGTTCCATTCCCGTCGCCCAGATGGCCGCCCACCCACGATGTACGTCGCCGCCTCCCTCCGCGCAGTACGCCTGCTACGACCAGCCGTCGTCCTCACGCCGTCGACACCTGCCTCCGCCGGCCAGCAACTTCAGGCCGTCATCGGAAGAAATGGATCCGGCTGAAATCCTGGCCGCCGTGCAAGAGGTTGGTTAGAGACAACATTGTGCTTGATGAAATAATTGTTTTAGGGATGATGTTACACGGTGTTTGATTGATCGTACAATTTTTTTTAACTATGTATAGTTAGAGGAGGAGGGCGATTATGATGGCAATCATTACGACGAGGACAACGAAACCTCGTCACTGAATATGGATGAACCTGCTGAGGAGAACTACATGAGTTTGGATGAATCTTATAGTGGCAATATAAGTGTGATCAAGGTTGATAAAAACAATAAATATGGTAGACCGCACGGAAATTTTCATAATTTTTTGCATCATGCAGCGACATGGCGATGATGATGATGATATGGATATAGATGATTCATTTGCCCAAAGTGCACTCCGGGTATGTCATAAATAAAATCAGAGAAGAAATGACATAATTACCATATTAGCGCTTACATGTTTTTTTTTGCAATGCGCGCAGATGGACGAGGACGGGGACTTTGTGAGGAATATTATGGACGATGAAAGTGACAAATCGGACGTTGATCCATCTCATGATGACAGCTCCAGCAAAGTAAGTTTTCAAACTTGCATAACTACATTATTACATATTAAAGTAATAACTGACTGACATAAATGGTTTAATGCATTAATTTATAGGGAGATGTAGATGGTACAAGCGGGAATGATGAGTATGTTGGTGATGATCTGTTTAATTTTGACATCGGATTTGATGAATATCAGCAAGAATCATTGGACATGCATTGGAAGGTCATGAGGAAGATGTTCTAGGAGAGGCTTACATTTTCTATAACCAGTATGCTTACGAGCGTGGTTTCAGCGTAAGAAAGGACTCACTGAAATATTCGAAAGGTCCTGAGGGAACTAAGCGCTTGAGAAAGTATCGGTGTGCGAGAGCTGGGAAACGACAGGCAAAACTTTGTACAATGGAAGGCAGGACCCGCAGACTGAGAGGGGAGACGTGTTGCTTCTGCGATGCGCATATAACTTTGAAACTTGATAAAGAGTGTGATGTTTGATATGTCAGCAGTTTCAATGATGATCACAGTCACGTTCTAGCTAGACCAGATGAAGTCACATTTCTTCGGTCTCATAATCAGATAAAAGAATATCAGAAAGCTGAGATCTTAACCATGGCAGGTGCTGGAATCAGGAAACATATGATTTGTGATCAACTCGTCAGTAGGTACGGGTCATATGCAAAGGCTGGTTTTGGGAGGAAGAAGCTTTATAACATGTGTTATAGAGAAAAAATGAAATTGCTTGCACAAGGTGATGTAGACACTGCCATTGGGATCATGATGACCAGAAAAGAGAGAGATCCAGATTTCTTCTTTGAGCACACCGTCGATGATGAAGGAAGGCTGAAAAACATATTCTGGTGTGATTCTCAATCACGTCGAGACTATGTTGACTACGGTGATGTGACAGTCTTCGACAGCACATATAGGATGAATAAGTATGGCATGCCATTTATACCTTTTGTTGGTCTGAACAACCACCGTTGCACCACGGTATTCGGTTGTGCTCTTGTGTCTGACGAGACGGAGGATACATATGTCTAGCTGCTTCAGACATTTTTGAGGGCTCATTGTCAGAAGAGGCCCAGGTCAGTAATTACTGATGGAGGTGCAGCTATGATTAAGGCCATAAGAAAGGTACTTTCGGAGGTTTGGCATCGTCTTTGCTCGTGGCATATTGAGAAGAACATGCAGAAACACCTTCATCATAAGTCTCTAAAGGAGTTCAGGTCTCTACTTTATTATGCCACTTCAAAGAAGGTATTTGAGGAGAGATGGGCAGCGTTTTGCGCCAAATGGCAGTCGGAGAAAACAAAAACATGGTTACGTAGGATGTACAAGAAGAAAAGGCTTTGGGC